TAATAATAATAATAATTCACCACTGTGGACAGAGTAAAACGACCTTGTGTGGATCTCTGACCACCAGTCGATGATCACTGTTCTTTTATAGAAAGTGCGCTTCTGGGATGCAGAATAAAGCCTTGATAAACAGTTTTCTCTTAACAGCAGCTTTAAGGATCACTGATCAGTCTCTGGTTCTGTTYGACCCACATTTATTAAGAAGAACCCAAGATACCTCAAGTCCTCTACCTCAGAAGCTCTTAAACTGGGGTCTGCGAGATGTATCCTGGGGGTTCTCAAAAAATTCCATTAAATTGTTAATTTGGTTTTTATTTTTTAAAATGCATGGAGAACAATGAAGAGAAACATAATAAACTAAATAAAAATATATATATTYCCATGGCATTTAGGGGTTGAAATGAAATGACAGTAAATTATCTTTTAAAACAGCATGTAGTTTATGAGGGGGTCCCTGGAATGGTTTTGCCCTTGTAAGGGATCCCCAGACCCAAAGCGTTTGAGAACCCCTGCTCTACCTGGGGCAGCGACTTGTTCCTGATGCAGAGTTGAGAATCAGAGTTTTCTGGTTGAAGACMATGGCATCAAACCTGAAGGTGCTGATCGTCATCCTGATTGCTTCACACGTTGTTCCGGTGCCTTGTGGAGGCCACATAATTAGACCAAGTCATCTGCAAAAATCAGAAGTCAGTGTAGAATGAAAGACAAATTCTGTCCACAAAGCTTCTGACCAAAAACAGACACAAAGTAAAGTGTGTTGCAGTCCTCAGGACAGTGAGTTGACACATTTTTCTCAGATTCCAGTGATGAAAAGTCACACAGCAGATCTATAGAATTCATTAAAAGGTAATAWCTWTTATAAATGCTTCTCTAYRTTCKGAGCAACTTTCATGACAATCTGTTGACCCTCAAGTGGTTTTTGAAGCCCCTCAAGATAGATAATTTGAATGGGTCATTTTAAAACAAATTTTAATAAAGTTGGTTATTTTCCTTTTTCAGTTTTAACTGCCTCCCAATAAATGAGTTTTAATACAATTTAGGATTTTTTTCACATACCTACAAAGAGTTGTGCTGGCATAATCTAACACTGAAAAAAGGTCTGCATTGTTTCACTTCACTGGACCAAACTGACCTTAGAGAGGAGCCCCAACCTCCTCCCCTCAACACACACACACACACACACACACA